ATGACATGCACTGGTACCAGGCCAGCCAAGGCGGGTGCGATGCAATTGGTGGAGGGGCCCTGCCATTGCCCCACGATCATCCCACAGAGGGAGGCCCAGACCAACCTCTCCAGGTCGATCAATGCGGGGGAAGAGGGGCTCTGCAATTGATCACCCCAAAGAGGGAGGCCAGGCCACCCTCTGCATGGTGATCAATCATGGAGCCCGAGATGGGTGGGGTGATCGATCTGGGGGCCCCGTGATCGATCGCCCCACAGAGGGAGGCCCAGGCCACTGGCCAGTGATGCTGTGTCAGGTGTGCGGGGCCAGCCAGCGATCGCTCAGCAGAGGGGGGGGCCCAGGCCAGCCAAGCAATTGCACCCCATGCCTGTCGCCCGTAGAAGGAGGCGACCAGTGGCAGGGGAAGGGGGCAATGCCACACAGATGGCAAGCAGTGGCAGCGGTGGTGGTGGGGCCAGCTGCCAGCAGCTGGGGGAAGGAAAGCCCCAATAGGCTGTGATCACCAGCCAGGCCTAGGGATCCTAACTGAGGGGTCCTGGATTGTGAGAGGGCGCAGGCCAAGCTGAAGGACACCACCCCCACCATCCCCCACCCCACCCTGTGCACCAGGCCTCTAGTATCTAATAATTTGGAATTAGTGAAATTATATTGTATCCATAAGATGATAATGGGGAGACTATTTAATAAACTGGAAAATTTTCATAACAACTGAAAAAGAATATGATCAAATTTTTGGTCTTAAAAATGCTTTATATATATTAAAAAGCATCTAAAATTCCAGAAATCTGTTAATAAAAATAGCAATCAAAGATGGTGCTCTCTGAATGGTAAAGGGTGAATTTAATTGTATTTTTTACTTATCTGTCGTTTTCATATTTTCTTTAATGAACATGTATTACTTCACAAACCAGAAAAACATAAAAGTGTTCTTTTAATAACTAAGGAAAGAGGTTATATGGGTAAAAGTCAGTGTTTCCCCATTGCTCACAGTATAAACATCAGATTCCCTTACATGACCCCCGCCCCCTCCCCCTACAGCTCTGGTCTTGTCTATCAGTATGTTCCCACCAACATCTTTAGCATTAACCATACAGGCCTCCAGGTCTTTTGCCATTTGCCTTTTATCACAAAGCCTTCATACAGTAGACTGTATTATCTTTGCAATTATTCATCCCCACCCCTTCCATGTAAGAGGATTATGTCCCAGCCACTGACATATACCTTGCCATGTCCCCAGTGTTGAGAACCATACATCCCTGTCCCATTAACTTTGGACTTTGGCCTTGGTCTCTACTATTCAGGCTTCAGTGGCCCCTTCTTTTGGATTTGGAGACTGTTAAAGAGTTCACTGTCATTAAAAGGAATGTAAGCAGTCACAACAAGGCTATATTGGAGCAGAAGCTTTCCGAGTCATGGCAAGCTTCCACCAATGTTCTTGACCTTTCTTTCTGCTACCAGAATGGCATGTCTCACATAGGGACTCAGTTTGAGCCTCTGAATGAGAAGCAGAGTCATAGCCCAAGCAGAGCTGTGGTCAACCTACAGCCTACCTGTGACATAAGTGATTAATGAACCTTCATGGTGTAAGTGACCGAGGTTCAGAGGTCATTTGTTACTGCAGCAAAACTGACTAATACACATGGCACATGCTATTTCTTTATCTGGAATATTCTGACAGGCCACCCTTACTCCACAGATTTAACTCCATCTCTTCATTCACATCCCAGCTCTGCTCTAACCCTTTGACCAGGTCAAGTTCCTCTTCACACACTTTCTCAGCACAGGTACTACTTCTTCTTAACAGGCATCACAATCATAACTTCACAGTTTTTGTGTGATTTTTTAAAATCACTCCCTGGTATGCCAATGGACTGTAGACTCCTTCAGAGCAGGGATAGTTGCTGTCCATTCATCTGTATCCCCCATACCTGGAAGAGCTGTTGGCACATTGTAATCCTAGTAAAAAAAAAAAAAAAAAAAAAAAAAAAAAGTTAAATGAATGCATGAAGAAAAGCATGGATAAACTAATAAATATCCTTGAACACAGAGCTGAGAAACATAAATCAAATGGAGCAAATATTTGGAAGACATTATTGGTCTTCAGGTGAGAAAACATGAGTCTTTTATAGTGCAAATAAATACACGGTAACCATGTTCAGGATCTCCTGAGTAAAAATATTTAAGCACTATCACTGTTCAAAGCACTTTATACACATTAGTGCCAGTATCCTATCAGCCTGTATCAGCCCTGTGATGTGAGTACTATTATTATCCCAGAGGGAAGGTCGACCCTTTGCCCAAAACCACAAGCTGTGAGCTGGTGGAGACAGGGCTTGAATCCAAATAGTCTGTGTGTTTATAACCTCTGGACTGTGCTGCATTCATGTGATCTGAAAGCTATGAATACTGGGAAAGTTGTGGAACTGCACTGGCAAGGCAAGAAAAATTTTATGTTTAATTTCCCTATCTTATCACTTGGGATCACCTGAGTTCCTACTAGGGTGGTGGCTGGCAGAAAGAGAGCATTTCCCCTTGGGCAAACCAAGCACACATTTTCCCACATCACTTTCATTATTTGATTCCTATTCAGTGCCCTCTGCCCAGTTCATTTGTAGAATTGAAAGGGCGAGTCGTCGCGGGGCCTACGTGGGCCGGCCGCTGGGCCCCATGAGGCACAGCCTGACCACGCTGCTGGCGGCCTCAGGCACCGACTCCCCAGCCCACGGCGAGAGCCTGGCACAGGCCGCCACCCGCCCGCCGCCCCTTGACCGGACACGCGCAGTGGTGGCGGGGCGGGGCGCGTACCCTCGCCCGAGGAGATGGAGGAGGAGGCGATCGCCGTTGCCCCCGGGGACGAGAAGGAGGATGTGGACTTCCTGTCTGGGCTGGAACTGGTCAATCTGCTGGACCCCCGGCAACCGGACTGGCCCCTGGAGCCCGGGCTCAGCTCGCCCTGGGAGGGGCGAGGACTGCGCCCTCCATCTTGCCCTGGGTCCTCCATTTTTGGGCAGAGCCATGTGCTTGGCCGGGGCTTCTCCCCGGAGGCCCAGGCCTCTGTTGGCCACGCCCAGGATTTCTCTGGACTAACCAATGATAATCAAGGGTAGTGCACGCCATCAATATGACTACATCCTGTGTAATGAGACACCAACTCGCGCCTGGCCAATCGGCAGGGCCCACAGTCCCCTCTCCTGCCCTTACTCCACCCTCCTATAAAACCCCCGTCCCGTCAGGCTTCGGTCTCTCTCTGCCACTGGGCTCACGTTGCATTGGTGAGTGTGGTCGGGGAGCCGAACTAGTTCGAAATGAAGGACTCTTTGCTTTTGCATTGGACTCACTGGCTCCCTGGTGGGCTTTTTGGGAACCTTGAAATCTGGGCACAACAGAATAATGTCAATAACAATGTCATCATCAACACCTTTGGGTCTTCTTCACCCCTTTGCTGTGCCTATCACAAGTACCTGCACATATTAGGTGCTTAGTAAATGTGTTTTGAATCAAATGGGTCCTATAGTTCTTGCCTATGATTAAGTCATTGACTTGGGCAATGATGAGATCTAGTTGACTTTATAATAATTCTATTTGAGGGAGCAGGCTGAGAATCTCATTCTAAACTAAATTGGACTCAAGAAATAAGGAACCTGAACACAGGTTGCCTTAGCCATGGAGCAAGGAGAGGAACTGATTGCGGGACCTTTGCTCTTGGCTTCTTCTCTGGCCACAGTGGTACTAAGACAGAGAGAAAGCCCTGGAAGGGGCTGGCGTGGGGAGAATTCACTTTGAGACAGAGGGTGTAGAAGTGGCAACAGTGTGAGGTCTGGGTCTCCGGTGGGAGAAAGGTGGGACTCTAGGACTCACTGTCTTCCCTGGTGTGATAAGAAAGAGTTCAGTGACATCATTTCAAGGGCCCCTTAGAGCTGGACTATCTCTGAGGCTAACACTCTGCCCTCTTTCAAAGTTTCTTTGGGAGTTAAAGGAAAGAGGAAGATATTGGAGTCAGCTGAGAGCAGGTTAGAAGAGCCAGTAGAAAACAATGGAGAAGAGCTGGTCTTCAGCTGAGTTTTAAAGGCACCAATGTCAGGCTGAGAATAGAGGGGACAGACCTCGTCTAGGGCCGGAGTCCTTGAACCACAGGTGCCAGGCCACCCACATCAAATCACCTGGGAAATTTTTAAAATGCTCATTCCTGAGCCTTTCTGGAATCTGGGAGTTTCATATAGAAATCTACATTTTTAATACCCCAGATAATTCCTTTGAATCCTAAAATCTGGAAATGTCTGACCGGAAGAGATAATGCTTACTTGCTAGGGTAGGTAAATAACATCCCAAATGCTTTTGTTTGGGACCTATGCCATTGTCTTATTTCAAGGATAATTTAACTCCTTATCTTTAAGACCACCTGTGTGTTCAGTGGAAGAGCCATCACCTGGGATGACTAAGTGCCCTTTAATAACAGACATGCCTGCCTGACCCAGCTTTCCTCGCTGATCTCCCAACCCCTCCCAGAGGAAGAAGCAGGCTCTCCTTTCAGCCTCTCTCACCTCCCACTGGGAATAAAGGTAGCTCCTCATCTGCTGTAAGAAAAGCCAGGACCCTAAGGGAAGGGTGCAGTATAGTCAGGTCTGGCCTGGACTGAGGTCACCCCGTGAAGCAGCTCAGCTGAATCCCCATCTCCTGACACTTGGCCTTCAAAATCCTACAGTTTTCAGTTAATCACCAGAAAATGGAAACTCCATGTGCCCACAGCTGGGCCAAGTTCCCAAGTTCTGGCTCTAATTAACACAGCAGCATAAACTGGGGTGGAGTGGGGGGCAGACCAACCACTCACCAGTTAACAGCACAGCAGCCTCTCTGGGGTTAGCTCAGGCTCCAGAGCTGGTTAGGCCAGCCCTGCCAGGCAGCCTCAGGAGGAAGAGGAGGAGGAGGAGGAGGGTGGAGATGCAGAGCTTGGAGGAGGAGCCCGAAAGCCTTGGGCAGGGCGGGGCTAAGCAGGCCGGGAGAGGAGGAAATGGGGTGGAGGAATTGTGTGCAGGTCTGTGACATTGAAGGCTGGGCTTCTGAAAGGGCTTGGGGCTGCCTTCTCAGGTCAGAGATGAGAAGGAAGCTCTCACTGGCTGTCCCTCTCCTTTGATGGGATAACTGGAGGCTGTGGCAACCCAGCCTCCCTCCCTAGTGGCCCCACCAGAATAAAACCGCCCAAGGAGTGTTGACTACCCCGGAGAGCTTCGGAGCCTGCACCAAAGAGGAGGAGGTAAGCACCCTGCTTGATGCTGTGATGGGAGGGTGGTCTTTTCCCCTGAGCTCTCCTTCCTGCTTGCTGGCCTGGAGCAGGGATGCTACTCAAAGGGAGCCTCTGAGGTACCCTGGGTCCTGGGGCTGCAGCTGGGTCCACCACCAGCCACAGGCTTCCGGGAACCTCATTCCTCTATTTGGGGAGCTCTCTGCTCATGATGGAGGGCCCTGTGCGTGCAGTTGACTGGGTTACAATGGTAGCTGTGGATGGTGATGGTGATCACTCTAGTCTACATGGTCAAGGCTTCTTCCATGCACTGATGAGCAGGCAGCCTCAGCCTTTGCTGCCTTAGCTTGGAATGAGTTACCTGTATGGAGGGCCCATAATATGTGAGCATTGGTCATTACCTGTACTATGTCAGGGCCTCTTTCCAAAAACTTACAAAACCATTATGCAGGACTTTGAAAGAAGTACGTGTGTGTGAGGAAGAGAGAGAGTGAGACGGAGTTGGGTTTTTGATGATGGTGACTCATGAAAATAGTATTAAAAGCTTATGATTTGCAAAACATGAGGTTGAAATACTATACATCTTGTTGCAAACCCGTGAGGCAAGTGTCAGTATTACGTACAATTACAGATGAGGATGCTGAGGCTTGGGGAAGTTAGCTGAGCCACTGTTCCCATTGCGCGTTGGGGCACTAATTTAGACGTGGGTGTCTACTTCTCAGGCCTCGGTAGCCCCTTCGTATGGATTTAGAGACTCACTGTTAAAGGGTCACTGTCAGCAGTACGTAACCCACATGGTCTGTGCATTAAGAATCAGAGACTATCAGCTGAGCAATGGAGTTAGTCTTTCAAACACTGGAGCCAGCAATGGAGAGGAAAGGGAATGTGTTTGAGAGCTGGATACTGGATCAGTGCACTATGGCCGATTAGAATTAAATCCAACCCCAAAATGGTTTATCAGCCCTCCCCTGTCTCTAGCCCTCACCCAGCTTCCAAGCTGGCCTATACCAGGCCCCTCAGTTCATGCTGAGCCAGGACCATGAGCTATCTCTGTTCCTCCCCTCTGCTTGGGACACATTCCCAGGGCTTTTCCTGTCTTCAACCAAGTCGCAGCTCAAATGTTGCCTGTTCAAGAGGGCTTCCCAGACCACAGAATCTAAAATGGACCCCTCAAAACCACTACCAGCCCCATTAACTTCCCTTGCAGTGTTGGTTAATTTCGTAAAGCTGGCAACAATCTGAAGTTCTGGATTCTTGATTGTAACGTAGGTTGGGGACCTTCCATGTCTTCTGCCTGCTGGACACTGCTGGGCCTCCAGGGTTTTGCAGATTTCCCAATAATAACAGGGGCTCAGTTAATAGTTGTCAAGGGAAAGAAAAATAAAGGGATCAGGAGAAATCATGACCACCTGTTTGTCTCCTGCTCATCCAGCACCTCCACTCAATCTCCCTTGGGAAGGCAAACATCTTGTTCTAGAAAGTAAAGAGCTACCTGAGTTTTCAGGTATTCGATGGGGGGGATGATTTCATTTTGGGGGTAACATAGGGAACAAGGCTAAATGGCATCAAATGGATTTAGTTTCCTAGTAAATAGCAGGGTATGTATGATAAGGCTGCCTCTGCTGCCTGCGACTCACCCCAGCATGTTCTTCTGGACACCAAACCTGGTCTTGATCTTAGCACGTAGGGTACTCGCCATGCCTGGGGTACTCGCCATGCCAATACGGCCTCAGAAAGCTCAGAGTGCACCCTTCTAGCCCTGCTTTATCAAGCCGCTCATTCATATTCTCACCAGGCTATGCTATTTTGGGTGTCATCCATTTATAGGATAAGAAGGGCACCATATTTGCAATCAGGGGATCCAATGTGCTTCTATGGGCTCTACCACTCTGCCACTGTGGGCAAGTCCCTTTGAGCCTTATCTCACATTTATCCTCAATCAAATAGAAGGCTAGCAGCTGACCTTTATGCCTGTGAGACTAGGAGGTGCACCTGTGATAGCAGTCCTCACGGAGCATAGGCGTATGTCATTCTATTGTGCTTAGCTTTATTGTGCTTTACAGATGTTGCATTTTTTACAAATTGAAGGCAACACCCTCCACCAGCAAAAAGATTAGGACTCGCTTGATTATGGTACTCGTTTTATTGTGGGTGTCTAGAATCAAACCCACATCATGCCTGTATTCTTTGTGACAGTGATGTCAACACCAGAGCCATTATCTCTGGCTCACAAGCAGCCAGCCCTGCAAGCAATGGGTGGCAGAGGATACAATTGCAGAAAATTTTGGAGGGAATCCACAATTCCAAAGAAATCTATCAGAGGAAGAGACTTCTCTGCAGGAATCCTTTTCTCCGGCAGCTACCTTCCTCAAGAATCGACTTAGGCGCTGTAATTAACACCCAGTATTCGCTTTGCAGCGAGGAGCAGGAGCAGTAGAACCCAGCCTGGCGATGCTTCTTCCTTGGCAAGCATGCAGCATTTGGCAGTATTTTACAAGCTGGTGGTTTTATGAGTCCCTTCCTGCACTTATGTGCTCTTCATTGTAATGTGTGTGGAGCCTTCCTGGCATCAGCCCTGGCCCTATTTGATTTAAGAGACATCTGATTTTTATTTCTAATCCTCAGGTTGTTCTGTGATTTTTTTTTTTTTTAAAGACACTCCTTATCTGTTCTATTCCCTCATGCTATTCTAGATTTTTTATTGCCTTTTATCAAAAACATATTTTGAATCAGGAGCCAAGCGACAGAGTCCTGGTGGTTTTCTGGGAAGGAAGAGGCTCACAAGCAAAGTGGTATTATGGAAAGAGAATCGCATTAAGTGCCTGAAGACATGGGCTTGAGTTCTGGCCATGCTTGTCACTAACCATCTTCCGATTCCTTGGGCCATGCTGGGAATAATAACAATATTGACAGTGGGCTTTTATTGAGAACTTACTAAGTGCTAAGAGGATTCCTTGGATAATCTCATTTAAATGTTCGTGCTGACTGTCTCTGTTTTTGGAAATAAGCCAATGAGCCTTAGAAGATAGGAGGCCCTCAGGTAGTGAGTGATAGAACCCAGTTTTGATGCATGCTGATGCTGATGGATTTATTTCTTTTCTCCAAGTGGCCTTTGAAGAAAATGACAAATATTTTCATAAAGCAAAATTGTGCATCTTGCCAAAAGGGAATATGAAAACCATCAGACCTATTCCAGAACATACACTGGATACTTGCCGGAACCCAAACTGTTTTAAATTCTTAAAATCTGTAGGTAGGAGACCTTGCAGGTACTATAGGCTGTGCCAGGGACTAATGATACAATGATGGCAGTCAACATTTATTAACTAAGTCTTCATACTCAGCACTGATAGGAGCATTTTCCTCATATTATCGCATGTGCAAGAGGCAGTTCATCATGGTGTAGAGCAGTGATGGCGAACCTTTTGAGATTGGCGTGTCAGCATTTTGAAACACCCTAACTTAACTCTGGTGCCGTGTCACATGCCGGGAGCCGGTCCATGCTTGCTGTTTCAAGGGGGTTGGACCCTGGCAGTCACATATAGAAATTTTTTGATATTTGCAACCATAGTAAAACAAAGACTTATATTTTTGATATTTATTTTATATATTTAAATGCCATTTAACAAAGAAAAATCAACCAAAAAAAATGAGTTCGCGTGTCACCTCTGACACGTGTGTCATAGGTTCGCCATAACTGGTGTAGAGTGCCTGGCTCTGTCAGCTGCTAGCTGTGTGACCCTGGACACGTTTCTCATCCACACTATTGAATATTCCCCATCTGTACATGAGAATATTCCCAAGCTTTCCCCCCAGTGAGCATGGTATACGTGAATACACATAAAGGGCTGAAACAGTGCTCGCTGTGTCATGTTCTCTCAAATGTTTGCTGCCCCTGCTTCAGTTCCCTCCGCGCTTCTATGAGCAAGGTCCTCTCACTGCTCTTACTGCCAGCTGTCCAATCGATGTAGAAACTGAGGGAGGGTCAGATCGCATGGCTGGATTCACGATTTGATGCTTCAACTGTGCTCTCCAGAGCCTTCTCTCTTCTGTGTCATATTTCCCCAATAAACTCTCAAGGAAACACACATTCCTCTGGGAACTCACAGTGGGATGGGAGCTGATACTCCAAAACCCAAGCTACTTTCTCTCCGTGCGTGTTCCTAAGCTGATACCTTTAGGCTGGTGAGTGAAGGGCCTTGTTGAAAATGACTAACATCTCTGGGATAGCGCCCAACCAGCCAGAACTTTCTCCTCTCTTCAGGATTCTTTTGTGGGCAGGCAACCGCACTGCCCTTGAGGTGTGAAGTTTGCTGATTAAAAGCAATCAATGGTGCTGCTGTTCCCCCAGACAGAGAGCTGAGCTGGCTGGTCCAGGGCGTCTTCCAGCTCTGCAGTAACATTGTCCTGTGCTGGCTTCCATCTGCTGATAGTCTCTTAAATTAGCGTCAGTGTTGGGATAAAGAACCAGAAAAAAATTGTGCAGAGGTCTGTCCTGGGCTGGGCAAAGACAGATGCCAGCATTTGCAGTCTCTAGGCTGTGATACCCAGTTGGGTATTGGAGTTATTTTCTGGGTCCATTCCCCTTTGGATGGGGACTTGCTTCTGCCAAGAATCCAGCCCACAACGTAAGACCAGCATGACCCCTGAAAAGCAGTCATCCTGCTGCTGCCTGCTCTGAGGGGGCGTGGCTCTGATATGCCTTCCAAATAATGACAGTAATTAATAATTAACAGCTTCCTTTTATTGAGTACTTACTACGTGTGAGCTTATTTAATGAGCTCATGTAATCCTAACATAACAACCCTCTCAAGTAGGCTCCAGCAGTGTCCTTCCTATTTTAGGGAAGAGGAAGGTGGCATTTGGGAGGCTACACACTTGGCCAGGGTCCTCTGCTGAAAGAGGCACCACCATGACCCAGTCCTCACCTCTGTGCCCGACTGCCCCAAACTCCTCCTGCCTGAACCACCCTCTCTGAGATGGTTTGATAACATGTTACTGATTAGCTGTGG